AGCATTAAGTGTTATTCAAACTCGTCCATAAACACCATACTTCATATCATAATTATACTCTGAACATTTACAAGTTTATTATGAAAATGTCTATTCAAGACAGATTTCAAACCTATGCCAAAAAAACTCTTCAATTTCAAAAGTAAAACTGTTCATGTTAACATGAAGAATATTATTTATACTTAAGTACTGTCTCAGAAGTAAAGCCTTCCGTTCTATGCCTCTGCTATACATGCATATAGCATACTTTTGGTTTTTACAAAAATAGCTTCATATTACACAAACTGACAAAGTACAGAAAATGCTGGCTACTGGGTTTAATTATATAAACCTAGCTTATTATGCCTTAGATACCTGAAGTTAAAAACCAACAAAAATGGAGGAAATAATCCTTTTCCATTCTTAATAACAGATTTCTGGATGTCATTTAATTAACCTTGAATTAATATAATACCCTTATATTGATTGTTTAAAAGCTATCTCATTAACTACGCTATTTAAATGTAATCTGAGTTTTAGAGTAGGCTTTCCCAAATTGTACTTAAGTTCTTCGGAGAAAAAAAGAGGTGTAGAGGACAATCTATGGTAGTCAAGTTAAAACACTCCAAGAGATCATCCAGAAATTTGTCTAAGTTGTACATGTGTTTCCCAAACTTTGGGTATTTGACCATGTGATCCCTTTTAATATGTTTGAGAAATGCAGAATTTGTCCTTATTTATTCCAGATATGAAGTAAATCAGCATGATTCTATAACCAGTAGCAAACATAAAAGCAATCATTCCTAAATAAGATCAAATTTCCTCCAACTTAGAACCATATAAAATATAATATCTATTTCAACATTAGGTTTCCAGCCCACAGCTTCCTTTGTTGTTTCTTTTTTCTGTTTTTTGAGACGGAGTTTCGCTCTGTCGCCAGGCTGGAGTGCAGTAGCGCAATCTTGGTTCACTGCAACCTCTACCTCCTGGGTTCAAGCAATTCTCCTGCCTCAGCCTCCCCAGTAGCTGGGATTACAGGCACATGCCACCGCACCCAGCTAATTTTTGTACTTTAAGTAGAGACGGGGCTTCATCATGTTGGCCAGGCTGGTCTCAAACTCCTGACGTCGTGATCCACCCGCCTCGGCCTCCCAAAGTGATAGGATTAGACATGAGTCACTGTGCCCAGCCTCCTGTGCTTATTTCTAGTCTGCTTATTACAAATAAGTAAAATTTAAAATGTCCTTATATATCTGCTAAGTAGTAACATGCTGTAAGTTTTCATGTGGATACTATGGCTCAAGTTCTGACACACAAACTTTTATTTATTTGCTTATTTTTGATAAAATGTTTGTTACAGGCAGCCAGGGGACAGCTTTCTTTTTCCCCCCAAGACCAGCTTTAGAATGGTAATTGATTGTACTTAGTTCTCAGAACTTCAGAAACGTAATAGATAAACAATTTCTTAAAAGTATTCTAGATAATAGCAAATGAGATTCTTTAACAACAGTACTCTGTTGCAGTGAGAGGTTTTTTCTGAAGCATCCCAAACCTCACAATATTCTCTTTACTCCCCCAATCACTCACACACACACACACACACACACACACACACAGTAAAATCTCAATCTCACATATATAAAAAGGCTCTCTAAATGATGGGAAAAAGTGGGAAAAAAAGCATACGTCAAACAAATACAAAATTGGCATGTGTTAAAGCTAACAAATTATAGAAAAACAGAACTTTAGTTAGATACCTTTAAGTTGTTACAACGGAACGGATAAAACTGTAACTTTAGTAGATAACTCAGAATTATGACTATATCCTTTGCTTCAATACTTTTACTCTAAAATGTGACCCTAAGTGAAACATGTACATAAATTCTTTCCATGAACAGCTTGATTGCAGAAAACCACAAGTATTTTAGATATATCTTAACACTGAATTATTTCAGTGCCTTGAGTTATAATGTGTTGCTCACACTGGCACCAAGTAGAGACTGATAATCTAAAAGAATAGCATTAAGTGTTATTCAAACTCGTCCATAAACATTCTCAGTGGTCCTTAGGTTCTCAGATATAGTCCTGAAGTTTTACAAGTATGCTTAGCTGTAATTGAAAATTCTAACCTGCATAACATAATGTAACTTAAAAATGTAGTTCCACCAAAAAATAAAATCCAGGACCTTACAAAAAATTATCAAATTTATTTTAATATCTAGGTTCATTTTTAAACTGTAGCTGCTGGATAATTTTTTGTAATTTAAAATTCATTATCAGGGTACAGAAAACATTAATAAGCTGACAGTGAATTAAATACTAACAGTGAACAAAATTACTGGACCATGCATTTATAAAAGCCACGTTTAATAGTAAAACATTCCAGTTATACTACTTAACTGAAAGAAACATCCTTTAGCTCCTTACTTCCAATTACAGCACATTCTCATTTTGATATAATTTATCCTTTTCACCCAATTACTACTATGCCCAACAAAATGTTTCCAAATTTTATACCTTTCTTTACCACTTAAGAAGTATGACATCACTGTTATGCTTTACAAGTTCTTTAAAAGAAATGTGAAATTTAAAGTTTTACTTTGAAACTGTTTGATCAGAAAGTATTAAATATCACTACCACTTGAGTTAAAACAAAGAATGAAATAAAACACAAAAGTGGTGTCTATATAATCAGCGAATTACTTGATAAGACATTTTAACTGTTTTACAGTTCTGCTTAGCACAAGAATAAACCGGTTCCAAAGTACTACAGTGTTTGGCATTTTTACTGCAAGCTTTAAACCATAGTGTTACTCCTCTCAACAAGCCATCTCTAAGAAAATGGCAGTGTTTGTGAGTACAGAAATTGTTCTATCCAGTAGGTGGTATTCTACATAGTCAAGATAAGAGAATGCTTTATAAAATTGTTTTAAAAAATGCAAAATGACTTAATAATTACCAGCTGTCTCAAAGACTATAAGAAAAATGCAGCAAATAGAAGTACTCATCGATTAATATTATTTTGTTTTGAGAAAGCCAGAAATGATTCTAAGAAATAAGCAATAATAATAAAAGACGTAATTAATATACTGTATCTCTTTTAAGCCAAAGCACACTTTTACCTCAAACAAGACAGTTCTGACTTTTACATTCTTAATTTCCTTTGTCCAAAACAGGACCCCATTTTAAATAGAGTTCATTTGAATTGAGTTCATAATCTAAAGTCACTTTTCCCCACAGGATGTTTTCATTTCAGTAGATAAACTGCTAAGCGGCAAATGACTAAGTCAGTTATAAAGAATTTGTACCACAGTAAATGATAATTTACAATAACTGTCAATAGAAACCTACAAACTTCTACACCCAAGCCTAAAAGTTACTATAGTATTGAGGTCAGAACTAACATGATTCTTCCATTTGGTCACTAAATAATACTGTCAAGAAATCCAAAGAAGAAACTTTAGTGGGTTCTTCCAAAGCTGCATAATTTTCCAAATGATTTTCCTCTGGTTGCAGAGCCTGTTCAGTCCTTCAATCCTTTTTTAGTCGTTTAGCTTTTGCAATGTTTTCTTGGCGTTTTTGTTTCTTCTTCTGCTCCTTCTCCCTGGCCTCAATCATCTTGGCCAGTTTCCAAGACAGTACAGCACTTGCTAGGAACAGTGGAGTAAGGGCCAAAATAACAGTTGTAAGGAAGCCATATGGGTCTTTTGCAGCCCATTCCACAACATACTCAGCCCAAGCCTTTATATCAAACATCTTCACTGCAGTCTTATGAAAACTGGGGCTGGAGAAGGTGGGTGGAGAACACAGAGGAAAAAAACAGGAGAAAGACTGTGGTTAGTCAAATTTTGAAAAAGTTTCCTCACACAACCAGTTAACTCATGATTCCATTATCACTCAGTTTGCTTTTTTAAAAAGTACTAATTAGTACTACTGTAATAAGGACTAGTATTTCCAGTTAGGAAAAAGTAATTCATCTAGGACAGCCAGAATAGTGACACTTCAAAGATGTAAAGTTATAGAAGATTTTAAAAAGCCATGTGACTCTGTCATAAGGACTATGCATTCTCACATGCCTCCTATATGGAAGACAAACTTTATTTAGCAGGAGGCTTTCATAAGAATCTTGAGTTTTCTATGGTCATTAAGAGCTGAACACAGTTTGTCATTTTTTGACATATCCTTAGTATTACTAATTAACAAAAATACAAATCAGCAAATTTGGTGTTTGAAAAGGACAAGCCACAGAGCATGTGCAATACTTGCAGAGAAGGAGAGATGGCTATTTCCAGGAATGGGAAAGGGAGGGCAAGGGAGTCATGACATCACATTAATATGCCAAAGCAGCAAAAAGTACTGTGCTATTTTATGCCCTTTCAGCTTTGAGGACCTCTGCTGGAATAAGCCTAATTTAATAAATGAGAAAAGTAGCCTTAACAAGATGCCATGTGTTTTGTTCCTTTTTGAGTGTAAGGAAAAGACATCTGGCAAATGAGGATTATGTGACTTGAGTGATGTTTTCTATTTTGCCCCAGAGGCTTTTCTACCTTTCATGTTTGTGTCAACCTCTATTCAAAGTGGAGAATTAGAATACCTGGGTAGGGAATGAGGTATATACATCCACTTACGATTTCAACTGGAATTTTTTAAAAAATTATCTACCTTATGCTTGAGTAGTGATCTCTAACTTTGTCCTGGTATTATTAGTGACCCAATCACGACTTCAGATGACCCTTGGTAGTCTGTCTTCTTGAGTTCTACTGTACACATCTGAGAGATGATTTAAATTCTGTACAATTGGCTAGCTGGAAAGAATACAAAAAATAAAACAAAATTTAAGTCACAACTTTCAGGATAATTGTAATAAAATTTTAAATGGAAAATTTCTATATTGTATATACGTAATCTATATGACATCTAAAATTGCCTATCCATTATAGTAACTTAATATGTTTCTTCCTCATTTGAATTTACCACAATTGCAAGTGCCCTGTAAGAAAATCCTGATTACTGGAAATCAAGTATTTTACTAAGTTAGTTATTTCAATAATAAAATTTTTTTAGTTCATTGACATACAGAAGACAAGTTGGCTCACTGACTTACACAGTATATCCGTTCCTAGATTTTCAACTTTCTATACTAAAAATGTTGCCATTCATTCATTTACTGGATTAGGTACACCACTACAAAATCAAACACCTCATCTTACTCTTTAAAGGTTTTTTTGGCTCTATCATACAATTTGTGTCCTTTACTTAAAAAATTAGAAGACATAACCAAACAAATTATAGTAATTCACCCACAGTCCCATTACCCCAGGAAAACTATGACTGGTTTTAATTATATCTTTCCCACGATTTTCAACTGAACACACATGAAAGTGCCTAATACGTTAAATATCTTAGCTCCCGGACTTCATAAGACCTCACCCATACAGTCAGAATTAGGTACTACTCAGATCGATCTGCCTTCACCTTCTCCAGCCCAGTAGCGAATAAACAATGTAAGTTTCAGAGATAAGCAAAAGAACTTTTGCAGTAAGAGTCATGGTCCACAGGCCACACATCTCCCTGCACCTCAACTTCAGACCCAAACACCCACGCCTCCACACTTTCAGGAATAAATCCTACTCTTCCGCCCAAAACGGATCGACCTGGCTCGATCTCCCAACCAGACCCGCGTGGCCCCTGCGGCTGCAACTGGTAACACTTGACGGCCGTCCGCACTTCCTCCTTTCTCTTTCCCTTATTTCTTACGTTTCTCCCTTGCTCCTTTGTCTTTCCCTCATTTCTTACGTTTCTCCGCTGCTCACTCTTCCTTCCTTACCCTATCGGGGCCGCAGACCCACGGGGGCCACGTTCACTCCTGCCCCTCGGCCTTGGCAAGCGCGGGCCCGTTCTCGCGCAGAGCCGAGGGTCCTGGGGAATCCTGGATTGGCGCAAGGGGCCGCCGCCGTTTCTGCTGGACACCAGGAGAAAACCACGGAAGCGGTAGCCGCCAGCTTCCTCTACCTCGCCCCAGGGGCTTGGATCCCACTCCCCACTCACCGCCAGACCGGAAGCAGGAAGGCGGAAGTCGCGGCCTTTGCGTCCCGCCCACAGACGACCCGAACCGCCAGCCGGGCGTTAGGAAGTCTAGGAGCCGGTTTCCGGGTGCGCCATTGCTGTGTGGGTCTTGGGACCTCGAGTTGGAGGACGCGGGAGGGTGGGGGGCGGGGACAGGGTGGCGCTGAGATTTCCGGGGAGCGGCAGGTGAGGCCGCGCGGGGCGGGTGACGGCACCCGGGCTCCTTTCCAGGCTTGAACCCGAGACTGCCACGTCCTGCGGGGACCAAGTGATGGGCGAGGAGGCGTGGAGCGGCTTCAGGACTCGAGGAGAGGTTCCGAAGCAGCTAGGAACTTTTGCCTTTGCCTCCCGAGGTCGATCGGAAGACAACCCCTATCCCCTGCTGTAGCCGGACAGTTGGAGGGTCCCGGGTGGGTGAGGTGTTTGGCTGAGAGAAACTCAGACCAAAGAGCTGCGGCAAGAAAGCATTTGGGTTCCCACAAACCGCCCGAAGTCAAGGTAAGGGTCACACAACGACCCTTGACGATTCCGACGAGTTCATCCTGGTTCACATCCCACTCCACGCCTCTCTCTTCTGGTTGGGCAATAGTTACATCCTTACGTAAAGGAGGCAAGCTGCGGGGCCTTGGTGGATCCACTCAACCTTGTTACCAAGGGACATGCTGCCATGCTATGTGAAAAGAGATTTTGTTGTTTGTTTTTAATTTAAGTACCTAATTCGTTTCACGAAAGAATGATCAATACCTGCCCAGAGTAAACTTGATAAGTAATTAAACTGTCAGGGCATAGAGTTCCCATAGAGGTGCTTGTTCTTTCAATACACAAATAAAAGGATGCAAAAGTCAACATGCAAAAAGGGTGAGTTAATATTGTCTTCTAATCTACGGGAACTGAAAAATTAGCTCTGGTTTGGTTGGTGACCAAATTTTGTGATTGCTTGCACTGTTTGACTACCTCTGACAAATGTTGCAAGACCTCTTCACTGTTTGATTCTCCAAAGACTATATAATGTTCTCTTTCAGGAGCAAGCTGCGACATGTTTAACTAGTTTAGGTAAAACAACAATAACTGTTATTTACCAGGGAACAGACTTTTGGCAGATAATCTAACGATCTACGATACTGTCCGTTGGGCATATGTTAATGTTTGAGATGTTGTATTACCAGCAGTTGTTTTCTTACCCCTTTTTATTTGAAAACCTGGATTATAGTTTCAAAGCCTATGCTGCTTAGGCCTAGCCTGTACCTGTAGTAGCCAGAAAAAGCAGACTCAGTCACTGGATTGTGTGCACTGAATACTTACTTGAGATAACCGATTTTTCTAAAACTTCTCCAAGTCGTGAATCCAAGATGTGGTCAGAATGTATTATTTTAACATCCTTCGTTCCAGAGGCCAATGCGTGTTTTATTTTAATCATGATAGATAATTTTCCCAGTTACTGCCTCTGGATACTTGGAGTGCTGCATCCCTGGTTAAAAGCATGGAAGTCTTGGGCAGGAAGAAAGGGCAAATAAGGAGAAAGCCTTTGTAGCTCTTCAGCTGTAATCTAGACCAGGGGTCCCCAACCATGGACTGGTACCTGGTTTGCAGCCTGTTAGGAACGGGGCCTCACAGCAGCAGGTGAGCGATGGGTGAGTGAGCATTTCCGTCTAAATTGCGCCTCCTGTCAGATCAGCAGCATCATTAGATTTTCATGGTGCGAACCCTAATGTGAACTGCATGTGTGAGGGATCTAGGTTGTGTGTTCCTTATGAGAATCTAATGCCTGATGATCTGAGGTGGAAGAGCTTCATCCTGAAAGCATGCCCCCTCCCCATCCATGGAAAAATTGTTTTCCACGAAACCAGTCCTTGATGCCAGAAAGGTTGGAGACTGCTGATCTAGACCATGCCTTTACAATCTAAGTTTGCTTATCTAGCTTCAAGTTACAGGACAGTCTGCAAGACCAAGAACAGCATAGGGGTTGCCACAGTGGAGCTCCTTACTGGAATCTGCATTGCCTTAACTAAAGGTGGTGTCAGGATTGGTTCAAATACTGTGAACTACTTTCCATAATGAGGAGTCTGAGCTCGTGAACTGAGATTCACAGTCTTGGTACAGTAATGATTTGTATACTCTGATAAATCACTCTGAGTGTGTTTCCACTCATATATGTGGAAAGCATACTAGGCAATCTCTAATGCCCTTTCAGCTTTAAAATCTGTAAATTGGACTGGATTTGGTCATTTTTCTTACCTAAATAAATAACATAGTAAGGTATTTGATAGAAACATTATTGCAAGTTTTCTTAAGGTCTTTTTTTTTTTTTTTTTTTTAATTTTGAGACGGAGCCTCTGTCCTGCAGTGGCGCGATCTCGGCTCACTGCAACCTCCACCTCCCTGGTTCAAGCGATTCTTCTGCCTCAGCCTCCCGAGTAGTTGGGACTACAGGCGGACGTCACCACGCCCAGCTAATTTTTGTATTTTTAGTATAGATGGGATTTCACCATGTTGGCCAGGATGGTCTCAGTTTCTTGACCTCGTGATCCGCCCGCCTCGGCCTCCCAAAGTGCTGGGATTACAGGTGTGAGCCACTGCGCCTGGCCTTTTTTTTTTTTTTTTTTTTTTTCAAACATGGTCTTGCTCTGGCCCAGCTGGAATGCAGTAGTGCAATCATAACCCACTGCCTCTTCGAACTCCTGGGCTCAAGGGATCCTCCCTCCTCACCTTCTGAGTAGCTGGGACTACAGCCACAAGCCACCATGCCCAGCTTAGCATACTCATTATTTTTAAAAACTATGACCAATGTTAATTTTCTGCTTACTGTATTCAGTTCGAAGTCAAGCCCAACTAGAGAGAACGAGTTTCCGGGATTTTTCTTTTTTTTTTTTTTTTTTGATACAGGGTCTCACCAAGTCACCCAGGCTGGGGTACAGTGAGTCCATCACAGCTAACTGCAGCCTCAACTACCTGGGCTCAAGCAATCCTCCCACCTCAGCCTCTAGAGTAGCTGGGACTACAGATGCATGCCACTATGCCCAACTAATTTTTTAAATTTTTTTTCTAGAGACAGGGTTTCACTCTGTTACCCAGGCTGGTCCCAAACTCTTTGCCTGAAGTGATCCTCCTGCCTTTGCCTTTCAAAGTGCTGGCACTACAGGTGTGAGCCACTGTTCCAGGCCGAGATCTTGTTTGTTTGTTTGAAAAGATCCTTAATCAGGTTTTTATTCTCTCTCAAATGTCTGTCAGAATACCAATTTAGAAAAACAAGGAAATAAGGTCTGCTTTATTTACTTCTAAGAAATGAGATCTTATTCATGTAAGTTTAGCCAAATTAACTAAACCTTATGCTGTTAATGAAGTAGGGCCTGCCTTTGCATAAGATAATTCCTGTGTAGTATGTCATACCACCAGCCTCTTCAGCACTAGTGTCCTCTATTGCAATTATATTTTACAAGTAGAGCCTTATAAAATTATTTTTTCTATTGAGAATGGAAGTCACATGCCATTTTTTTGCTTAAAAAGTATTTTTCCCTTGATTGGTACAAAATTACATCTCATTCTAACCCATGTCAAAGTTGTAAGTAGTGAAACCAGAATAAGATTCAGATAATATTAAAGATGATAATATAGTTTAATAATAACAATTGAGTCTTGTCTAAAAGACTTTGAGAGTTCTCTCACCTGCACCTTACTTTGATGGAATTAGTTTCGTCCCTAAATTTTATTTTGTGAGGTTTTTTTACTTCCATTGAAACATAATGTAAATACATTTCTTAATAGGCATATTTATGGGATATTTATTTATTTTTATTTATTTATTTATTTTGAGACAGAATCTTGCTCTTTTTCCCAGGCTAGAGTGCAGTGGTACGATCTCGGCTCACTGCAGCCTCTGCCTCCCAGGTTCAAGTGATTCTCCTGCCTCAGCCTCCAGAATAGTTGGGACTACAAGCATGCACCACCATGCCCGGCTAATTTTTGTATTTTTTGTAGAGACGGGTCTTTATCAGTCGGGCAGGCTGGTCTTGAACTCCTGACGTCACGTGATTCGCCTACCTAGCCTCCCAAAGTGCTGGGATTACAGGCATGAGCCACTGTGCCCAGCCAGTGATTTTTTTTTTTTTTTAGCATAATCAGATTTTATTGATATTTGAAAGTTTATACTGAAGAAGAATACTATTTTTTAAAGCTGCTTATTGTGGCCAGGTGCAATGGCTTATACCTGTAATCCCAGCCCTTTGTGAAGCAGAGGCGGGTGGATCACCTGAGATCGGGAGTTTGAGACCAGCCTGATGAACATGGTGAAACCCGTCTCCACTAAAAATACAAAATTAGCCAGGCGTGGTGGCGCATGCCAGTAATCCCAGCTACTTGGCAGGCTGAGGCAGGAGAATTGCTTGAACCTGGGAGGCGGAGGTTGCAGCAAACAGAGAACGTGCCGTTGCACTCCCACCGAGGTAACAAGAGCGAAACTCCATTAAAAAAAAAAAAAAAAAAGCTACTTATTCCAGCACTTTGGGAGACCGAGGTGGGCAGATCACCTGAGGTTGGGAGTTTGAGACCAGCCTGACCAACATGGAGAAACCCTGTCTCTACTAAAAATACAAAATTAGCTGGGTGTGGTGGCACATGCCTGTAATCCCAGCTACCCGGGAGGCTGAGGCAGTAGAATCGCTTGAACCTGGGAGGCAGAGGTTGCAGTGAGTCGAGGTCGCGCCACTGCACTCCAGCCTGGCAGCCTAGGCAACAAGAGCAAAACTCTGTCTCAAAAAAAAGCTACTTATTGAGTACTTAGTATGTACCAGGTGTTGGGCTAGGTTCTTCACACTTATTATCACTAATCCTGAAACTAAACAACCCCACAGGATTGTATTTTTATACTAATTTTACAGATAGGGAACCAGAGACTTTAAAAATAAAGCAGGATTTTTAAGTTATCTGGCCAAATCACTGCTGTTTTCCAATCAAAACACAAAACAATTGTAGAATCATAA